ATGCATGCGCACCCAGCGTGAGTTTCAGGCCACCGGGTTCAGGACTCAAACTGTAGTCAACCACATGGGAGAACAAAACCTTAATCACCATGCCACCTGCTGGCCCCAAGAATCACCTTTTTTTCCTATTTTAAGGTGTTTTGTTGTTGTTGCTATAGTGTATGTGCGCTCACCAGAAAGACAGAGAGAGAGACAGAGAGACAGAAAGCAAGAAATCACCCCCCAGGGGGGATGGCCACACCGCAATCCCTTCTCCTCCATTCTCCTCTCAGGATCTTGGGCCTGCACGCACATGACAGGCAGCTGGCATGAGTTTAAGCCACCGGGTCTGGGACTCCAGCCGCGGTAGACTACATGGAGTCCAGTGACATAGCCATTATGCCAACTGCTAGTCCCTTTAGTTTTCTTTTCTTTTCTTTTTTACTTTTTTCCTTTTTTATGCCATAGGGTGCATGTAGTTGCTGGAGAGAGAGAGAAAGACAGACACGGTGAGAGAGAAAGTGGGAGATCACCCTCTAGGAGGGATGGCCACACCACAATCCCTTCTTCTCCTTTCTCCTCCTGGGATCTTGGGCATGCACACGCACATGCCTGGCATGATTTTCAAGTTACCAGGTCTGGGACTCGAACTGCGCCTGGCCATAGTGACATAACCACTACGCCATCTGCTGGTCCCAAGAATCACCATTTTTAAGTTTATATTTCAATTGTTTTTAGTAGACTCACAGAACTCTCAACCATCACCACTGTATATAATTCGAGACTGTTTTCATTACACCCAAAAGAACTGCATACCCATCAGCAGTCACTCTCCATTCCATTTTCCCAGCCCTAAGCAACCACCAGTTGCCTATCTCTGGGTTTGCCTGTTCTGGACATTTTATATTATGAAATTAGATAGCATGTGACCTTTTGTGGGTGGCTGCTTTCACTTAGTCAAATCCTGAGCCCTGCAACTTGAAAAACACAGCATGTGTGCGCGTGCGTGTGTGCCCACCCCAAATGCCAACAGGATGGTGAAATAGGGAAGAGAATATGGTGTAACCATGCCCATTGGGGCATGCCTTCTCCTTCTTCCTCTCAGGCAAGGGCATGTGCCCTTTAAAAAAAGCTGCTTAGCAGGGGGGCGGGCCTTCCTGTGGTTTCAGCAGCTGATCTGGTTTGGGGATTTCCTGCAGCGACACTTGGCAGCCAAGGGGTAGGAGGTGCCCACGCCACCCCATGCTGCCACAGCCCTTTGACAATATGTGCTGTGCTCTATTTCTGTTTGTCACTTGCCACCACCGGTTCATGCGTTCCCTCAAGGATGAGGACTTGTTTCAGTCTTTGACCTCCAGGGCCTGGCACACACTGATTGGTAAATGTTTGCTAAATGAAAAACTGCATGGAAGAAATTTCGGAAGGGGTGGAAGTGTGGTTTACTCAGACCTGGACTGGCAAGGCAAGGAGGACAAAAGAGGGAGGCACTGATGTGAATACAGCCTCGAGGTGGCCAGCAGCCAGCTGGGTAAAGAGCCAAGCCACGCCAACTCACAACTGATGGGTTCAGGAGCTCTGCGTCTCCTAAGGCCGACTCCTCCTGCCTCCACCTTGGCCTAGCTTCTCACATGTCCTCATAGGAAACGTACACGCCTGGTTATCTCTTCCTTTAGATGTTTCATCCTGGTAGAGTTTTCCTTTTGGTTTCTAAATATATTTGAGTATTATATTTAAACAAATCCTTGGGACCAGCAGATGGCATAGTGGTTATGTTGCTGGACTCCCACATGGCCAACCATGGTTCAAGCCCTGGACCTAGTGACTTGAAAATCACACCAGAGGGCCGTACACGCCTGGTTATCTCTTCCTTTAGATGTTTCATCCTGGTAGAGTTTTCCTTTTGGTTTCTAAATATATTTGAGTATTATATTTAAACAAATCCTTGGGACCAGCAGATGGCATAGTGGTTATGTTGCTGGACTCCCACATGGCCAACCATGGTTCAAGCCCTGGACCTAGTGACTTGAAAATCACACCAGAGGGCCCGGCAGGTGGCATGGTAGTTAAGGACACTGGACTCCTACATGGCTGACCGCAGTTCAAGTCCCAGACCTGGCAGCTGGCTTTCTCACTTTCCCTCTCTCTCTCTGTCCCTCTCTGTATGATTACATGTAATATAATTTAAATAAATAAATAAATATTTAAATTTAAATAAAATAATTCTAAAAAAATTATGAAAGAAAAAAAAGAAAATCACACCTCTATCGAAAAAGAAATGAAATTTAGAGAAAGTTGAAGTAGGAAAACAAACTTATTAATGACTTTCTACTGTTTTTATCAAACATTAAAAAGTTAGTTCAGGAGCCAGCAGGTGGCGTGGGTGGTTAATATGGTGGATTCCCACATGACCGACCATGGTTCAAGTGCCAGACCTGGTAGCTTGCTTTCTCTCTCTCCCCCTAGCGAGTGCACATGTCCTATAGAAAACTAAAAAAGATAAATAAAATAAATAATTCTCTCTTTTTTTTTGGGAGATGTCCCCCCCCCTCACCCCCTCGCGGAGGATGGCCATGCCACAATCCCTTCTCCTCTATTCTCCTCGGGATCTTTGGTGCACATGCCCTGGCATGAGTTTAAGCCACTGGGTCTGGGACTCAAACCACGGTTAACTACATGGGGGTCCAGCGACATAGCCATTAGGCTGACTGCTGGTCCCTTCCTTTTTTCATAGAGAGACTTCTCTAAAAAGTTCTACATGTTGGGGCCTGCAGGTGGCAAAGTGTTTAAGGGCGCTGAACTCCCACATGGCCTACAGTAGTTCAAGTTCCGGACCTGGTGGCTTGCTGTCTCACTTTCTCCCTCTCTCTCTGTCTCTCTGATCAAGCTGGAAAATAATAAAGTTAAATAAAATAATAAAGAATTTATTTAACTTTATTTTTAATTTGGTCAGAGGGACAGAGTGTGAAAGAGAAGGGGGGAAGTGAGAAAGCAAGCCGCCAGGTCTAGGACTTGAACCACAGTTCCCCATGTGAGAGTCCAGTGCTCTTAATCACACCACTTGCCGGCCCCAATAAAATAATTCTTTAAAAAAAAAAGTTATACATGGCAGGACCCAGCCAGTGGTATAATGGTTATGGCAGCTGGATCTCACCAGGTCAACTATACAGTTTAATTCCCGGCCCAGGAACTTGAAAAACATGCTGGGAGCATGTGCATTGCATGCCCCAAATCCCAAGAGGAGAAGAGAGCAGGTTTTGTGGCATGGCCATCCTCCCTAGGAGAGCTACATTTGTCTGGTGAGCAGATGTGCCCTATGGCATATTCAAAAAAAAGAAAAGAAAGTTGTGTATGCCGTTTCCATTTTCCAGCCAGCCTGGCCATCATTCCAGGTCATCAATGACCTGTAAGTCGCTGAATCCCAAGGCCCATCTCAGGCATCACATCTGACCCAATTTCAGGAGCTTCCAACCCTGCTGGCCACTCTCTTTCCTTTTTGAAAGGCTGTTTTCTCTTGGATTACGTAACACCAGAGTCTTCTGATTTTTCTCCTACTCTCTGGCTACTGTCTATAGATACATTCGTTTTTTTTCTTTTCCAGTTTCCTATAGGGTGCATGTGCTCACCAGAGACAGAGAGAGATGACCATACCACAAACCCTTCTTCATTCTCCTCTCGGGATCTTGGACATGCACGCACACGCACCCTGTGTGAATTTAAACCACTGGGTCTGGGACTCAAACTGGTCAGCTACGTGGGAGTCCAGCAACATAGCCATTACACCAACTGCTGGTCCCATTTCTCAACTTTCTTAACCTCTCTGTGGCATAGGACACTGATGGCCATTCTCCTTGAAAGGTTTCCCTTCCCTGTTTCAGTACCACCTTGCAGGTGCAGGACATCCTCTTTCAGTCTCTTACGGTGCCCTTCTACCCGCTTCCTGGAATTTTGGTTCCTAAAAACTGAGCACGCATTAAGCAGCGACTTAGTAAAGGCAAGCTGGTGCCGTGTTAGGAGGGGTGGCAGGATGAAAATCAAACAGGAACTCGATATTGTCCAAGCACTTGGCTTCTAATGGAACAAGAGCTGTGAATCACTTTAGTGCCCCATCCTCTCCCTGGTGGGCAAAGCAAAGACAAGGTGCTGGTGAAGACAGAAACCAGAATCCATTGCCTTTCAAAATTCCCAAGAGATCAATTAGGTATCAAAAGCGTTTTGTTTTTTTGCTCTTCCTTTCTCCACCATTGTGCATGTAGACGACTCGATTCTTCACAATGTCTTCTCACAAGATTTTCAGTATCAAGTGGTTTCTGGCCAAGAAACAGAAGCAAAATTGTCCCATTCTCACAATGGATTCAAATGAAAACTAGTAATAAAATCAGGTACAACTCGAGGAGGAGACACTGGCGAGGAACCAAGCTGGGTGTATGAAGAACTGGACAAGGTATGGCCCAGGATATGTTGTACCAAGGTCACTATGGGCTTGCCACATCAAGCTGAAAACGGTCACCACTGCCTGGACAGTTGGAGTGTTTTATTGGAAAAAAATGATGCTTCACTTCCCATGCTCTGCATTGGTAGGTTGGTTCAGTAATAAATATGTAAGACCTTTTGTTTTGGGGGAAAAACATTTTTTTTTAAGGTTTTTACCATAGGGCGCATATGCCCACCAGAGTGAGATAGAGACAGTGAGAAATCACCCTCTAGTGGCATGGCCACACCGCAGTCCTCCTCCTCCCAGGATTTTGAGCATATATGCACACACGCTTGGCTTGAATTTCAAGCTGCCAGGTTTGGAACTAGAACCATGGTCGACCCTGTGGGAATCGAGCACCTTAACCACCATCCCACCTGCTGGTCCCCAGAATCAAAAGCTTCATTTCTCAAAACTAACAGCTATTCAGTCAAGTAAATAAACACACTTAGCTTCATATTTGAGTGCTACTGATATTTATTGACTTCAGTACAGAACGAGCAGAGACTACAAGTTGCTATTTAACGGGAACAGATATTAGTGCAGTGTCCTTCTTGGAGAGGGTATGCCCTCACATCCTGAGACCTAAGATGAAACAGAGACTGGACTGTCAAGAACCAAACAAAGGCTACGGTTTACCTATTCATAGAAAAAATGCTAAAGGCAAAATGAGATGTTTAAAAATAGTCTTTATGCTAAATTCATGTAAACAAACTAAAACTAATCCTAAAGCTTTAGGACATAGGATACAGACAGACCCTGACTATGTAAATTTTTGCATCAGTGGAAATGTGTTACATCCTTCACTGTACTTGTACTACAATTAATTACATGCTTGTTGCTTTACACTACATGAAGTTAGCGGTTCTCACCAACAATGCATTATAACTAGACCTGAACGAGACGTCAGAGTGACTCTGTTCCACCCAATTTAAAAAAATTCAATCCAGGATTAACAACACTTTTTGATTTTATAGTCAGCTCTCTTATTTTTTTTTCTTGTGTCATACACAATGAAATCCTCCCTTGACATTTTCCACCTGCAAATTGCAATGCATGGCCTCGCCATCATCTTTTTCTGACACTTCGAAATTAATTTGTAGAAATTGCAAAAACAATGAAACTGTACTTCCAATTCTGACCCTGTGGTCAGATTCCTGCTTTGCCACAAACATCCTCCTCTGCAGTGAACCCCACCAGCACAGCGACCCCCATCCTTTCTCTCTATTCCTTTGCCCTGAAGGCACTTCTGGATTGCTTAATACGTGCTCTTTGGCTGCCTAGACAGTCAGGACACCTAAGGCCATTCGGACTTATCACTCCTCTCCTCCTTCTTTTCTATGGCTAATACCACTTTCCTGCTTTTTTTCTACTGCTGGATCTCCAGGCTTGGTGCTCTCCTCAGGGGGACAGAGGCGATTTCGGCTTCGAGCTCCTGGTTGGTAAAGCTGCATTGCTGGGCGATCCTAAAGTAAAATGAAATACGTTCGTGTTACGACATTGCCACTCGGCATTTACACAACTTACGAGGTAACATATACCCAAACAAGTCAGATGACCAAAACCATGAGAGCATGGTACATGGCACTGCCTACTTTCCCTTATCTCCAAAGCAAAGCAACCATTTCTTTTTCTTTTTTTTGGGAGAGGTTCCCCCCCTGCCATAGGGCGCACGCGCTCGCCAGACAGAGACAGAAAGTGAGAAATCACCCCCTTGGGGGGTAGCCACGCCCCAATCCCTTCTCCTCCATTCTCCTCTCGGGATCCTGGGCACGCACGCACACACGCCCGGCGTGAGTTTTAAGCCACCAGGTCCGGGACACGAACCGCGGCCGACTACGTGGGAGTCCAGCGACATAGCCATTACGCTAACTGCTGGTGCCCAAGAAAAGCAACCATTTCTTAAGTAATATTTTCCATGCTACAGTCAACGTTTTGAGAACTCTACTATCTCATTTCCTTAACCATCTGAAGGTGAACTAATCAGGTTTATTTATTTTGTTTTTTGTTTGTTTGTTTGTTTGCTATCGCATCTCTCCTCTGCATTACAAAACTGACCTTCTTTTTTTTTAGAGATTTTTTTTTGCTATAGCTACAAGGTGTGTGCGCTCACTGGAGAGACAGAGAAAGAGAGACAGAATGCAACAAATCACCCTCAGGGGGGATGGCCATGCCACAGTCCCTTCTCCAGTCTCCTTTCACAATTTTGGGCATGCACGCATATGTGTCCAGTGTGAGTTTCAAGTGTCCAGGACTCGAACTGCAACTAACCATGTGGCAGTCCAGCGACATAACCATTACGTCATCTGCTGGTCCCAAAAAACTGACTTTTTAAAAAAAGATTTATTTATTTATTATGGAGAGATTTTTGTTATAGGGTGCTTACACTTGCCAGAAATACAGAGAGAGAGAGAGAGAGAGAAAGACAGAAAGCGAGAAATCACTCCCCCAGGGAGGATGGCCACGCCGCAATCCCTTCTCTTTCATTCCCTTGGGATCTTGGGCCACGCGCACACACACACGCGCCTGGTGTGAGTTTAAGCCACCAGGTCTCAGACTTCAACTGTGGTAGACTACGCAGGAGTCCAGCAACATAGCCATTATGCCAACTGTTGGTCCCAATTTATTTAATTTTATTTATTCATTCGTTTATCTTAATTTGACTAGAAAGAGAGAGAAAATCAGAAAGCAAGCCACCAGCTCCACAACTTGAACTGTGTTCAGCCATGTGGGAGTGTCCAGCGCCTTTACTACCACGCCACCTGCTGGCCCCCAGAAAACTGACTTTTTTTTTGAGAGGTTTTCGCTATAGGGCGCGTGCGCTCGCCAGACAGACATAGAGACAGAAAGCGAGAAATCACCCCCCGGGGGGATGGTCACGCCGCAATCCCTTCTCCTCCATTCTCCTCTCGGGATCTTGGGCACACATGCACACGCGCCCAGCGTGAGTTTTAAGCCACTGGGTTCGGGATGCGAACCACGGTCGACTACATGGAAGTCCAGCAACATAGCCATTACGCTAACTGCTGGTTCCCGAAAACTGACTTTAAAATGAAGTACCACATAAAAGTTTAGGAGGAAAACATTAAGAATGTAAAATCTAAGTAAAAACCTCCCTGAAATCATAAGCTCAGACCCCGTGTAACTTTCTGCAAACAGAATTTGTGTGTGTGTGTGTGTGTGTGTGTGTGTGTGTTTAGGTTTTTGACATAGGGCATGTGCACTCACCATAGAGGAGAAGAGAAAAATCATCCCCCCAGGGGAGATGGCCATGCTGTAATTCCTTCTTCCCCCATTCACCTCCCAAGATTTTGGGCATGCCCACACTTATGCCTGGCGTGACTGGGTCAAAGTACTCAAACCACATTTGGCTGTGTAGGAGGCCAGTACCTTAACCACTATGCCACATGCCGGACCCCAGAATTTACTTTTTAATTCACACACAACATAACATCCCAGCAAGTGGCACCTCATGTCTCAGATTCCTAAGTAAACCTTAATAAAGCCATCATGCATTTCTCAGTTTGAGTACAGTACTGTGTTTGGTTTATGCTACTCTGATCACGGAAAACTTAAATATATTCGCCCTCTTTTTAGGATTCAACAGAAAAAATTACATGAGCTTTTCTTACCCTTTGTTCCTAATTTATGAAGTCATCCTAAAGCATTTTTTAAAATTTATTTCTTCCATTATTGAGAGTTAACAACAGAAAGACAAGTTCCCCCAAACAGGGCCCCCCACTGTAATCCATTCCCAGCCCCGGCTAGTGTCAGATCAAGGGCATGTGTGTGCCTAGAACACTCAGGACGGTCTACAGACAAGAACCTGGAACCTTCCTATGTGGGTCAGCCTTGCAGAGTGCTGCATTTTACTCCAGTAGCAGCATCTAGCCTGATCAACCTTGTTTCTATCCTACCTCATCCCTACCATCACTAGAGTATTTTCAAGCAAATTCTACACATAATTTCTTCCCTAAATACTTAACATTTGAGATAAAGATGATTTTTCTTGGGACCAGCAAAGGGTCTAACGGTTATGTCACTGGATTCCTACATAGTGGACCATGGTTTGAGTCCTGGACCTGGCGGCTTAAAACTCACACCAGGTGCGTGCGTGCCCAAAATCCCGAGAGGAGAATGGAGAAGGGGTTGTGGCATGGCCATCCCCCCAGGGGGTGATTTCTTGTTTTCTGTCTCTCTGGAGAGCACACGTGCCTTATAAATAAAAAGACTCTTAATATAATGCTAATAGCATTTTCCCATTAAAAAGTTTAATAATAATTCCTTTACAGCCTATCCATTCAGTGCTCAGATTTTTCCAATTGCTTCATTAATGTCTTTTCTAAAAGACATGAATATCTGGGAACCAGCAGTTAGCGGAATGGCTATGTCGCTGGACTCACACGTAGTAGACCACGGTTCACGTCCCGGACCTGGTGGCTTAAAACTCACACCAGGCGCGTGTGCGTGCGTGCCCAAGATCCCAAGAGGATAATGGAGGAGAAGGGATTGCGGCGTGGCCATCCCCCGAGGAGGGATTTCTCGCTTTCTGTCTCTATGTCTCTCTGTCTGTCTGGCGAACGCACGCACCCTATAGCGAAAACCTCTCAAAAGAAAAAACAAAACAAACACACAAAAAAAGACATGAATATCTAAGTGATCTCTACAAATTGTATTTGCATGAGATGTCTCTTTAACTTCTCTTATAATCTAAATGGTTCCACCACCACCCTTTTCTAACATTTATTTGTTGCATAAACCAATTTGTCTCACAGCTCCTTTCATATTTGGGATTGGCAAATTATTTCCTCATGTTGTTACATGGGGGTGGATCACAGTGTCAAGACCCTGTTGGAAGGGCACTGTCTCTTTTGCTGATGAAAGAAATGAATGCTTAAACATAAGAAATAAATAAACAAGGTTGGCCACTAGGTGATGATTATTGAAGCTGGGTAATGGGTGCGTCGGGGTTCATCATAATGTTCTCTATCCTCTTCACTTTTGTATATATTTGTAAGTTCTACAATAAGTTAATAAAACAAAGTCAAGACTGACAAGTAAAGTTGTAGGTACTTAAAATTCCCCTTTAAAACTTCTATACTAGAGGGACCAGCAGGTGGCATGGTGACTGAGATGCTGGACACTCCCACATGACCAATCTCGGTTCGAGTCCTGGGCCTGGTGGCTTGCTTTCTCACTTTCCCACTCTCTCTCTCTGTCTTGCTCTGGTCAAATTAAAATGAATGAATGAATAAAAAAATTTTTAAAGAGACCTGTCTTTTTAAAAACAAAACAAAAAAGAAACTTCTACACTAGAAACCAACATATGGTGTACTGGTTATGTGGCTGGACTCCCACATGGCTGACCACAGTTCGAGTCCCAGATCCGGCGGCTTGAAACACACTGGGCATGTGTGCATATGTCCCCAAAATCCTGAGAGGAGACTGGAACAGAAGAGACTGTGGCATGGCCATCACCCCAGGGAGTGATTTCTCACTTTCTGTCTGTCTCTGTCTTTCTGAGTACACGTGCCCGATAGCAGAAATCTCTCTTTAAAAAAAAAAAAAATCACTTCTACACTAAATGATGAGCTAGCCCATTTCTTTATGCTTGCAGGAATAGAGGGAAGAAAATCCTCATGAAAATAGACAAGTTTAACGAGAAGTAGCACCTTGTTTCTTATGCGATCTCTCTTAACCACTTCCTCTTTCTTTTCGGTTTTTTCTGAGCTGACTACTGATTCTGTACTTTCATTCTTCTTTCCTTTATCACGAAGTGTTTCTTTCTCCTTTTTAATTTCTTCTTCTTTTCTTTTAAAAGCCTTCTCTTTCTCATAGCGCTCCTTTTGCCTACGGCGCTCTTCTTCCTGCCGCTTCAGTCTCTCTCTCTCACGAAGTATGCGCTCCTGATCTCGTTCGTAATCCCGATCCCTCTCCCTGTAGTCTCTGCTGCTTTCATCTTCAGGTCTGCATGACAAACAAATCTGAGACAACCCTCAAAGAGCTCGTAATCACAAATGCAGAAGCACTGGGACTTGGGCTTGGCTACTGCAATGAGGTTGCAGAGTAAACTAGTGTTTTAAAAGACAACAGAAACCAAAAACCATTCAAATGGATGAAGATGCTATCAATAGAATATTTGAAACTCTTGTCCTCATCCCCCTGCCCCACCTAAAAATGTTTCTCTTAATTCAGGTGCAAGTCCAGGATACAGCAGCAAAACTGTCATCCGGCAATCAAACATACCGAAGAGCCTTCCCTCCACCACTGACCTCTTTGGCTTTTCATCTTTAAGTTCGACATCAGAACGCTTGGGCAATGTACAAGTTTGCCCACTGGCTCTTTCATCATTCAGATTCTCTTTGTCCAATTTCTTGGCTTTCTCTCTTTTGTCCAGTTCTTTGTCATCTCCTTTTTCTGGCTTCTTGAGCAGCTTTAAAAAGAATGTGTTTATTTTTATTTTGAAGGGTAGGACATTGTCTTCTGATTCTATCAAAGAAAACATACTAAATGCTTAAGACTTAGAATACAAAAGGCCCCTTAATCTCTGCAGATGCTCAAACTTTTGGGTGAACTAGTGCACAAGAGCAGTAATTTGCTAAAAGGATGCTATTAAAGTGAAAGTGTTATCCACTCAAATGAAGTGGTTTAATCACTTTGTGGCAATAGGATCAAGACTCCTTTGGCTTTAAATTGGTCAACCTTTAAACAAATGAATATCCACTTCCAAGTATATTTTTGTAGCAAACCAGCATGTTGATACAACTCAATGGGAAAATATCCCACAAATTTTTTTATTGTTTAGATTTTTGCCACAGGACATATGTGCTTGCTGGAGACAGAGCGATAAAGAGGGAAAGTAAGAAAATACCCCCTAGGAAGGCTGGCCACATTGTAATCCCTTCTCCGCCATTCTCTTCTCAGGATTTTGGGCACACATGCACACGTGTCTGGTGTGATTTTCAAGCCAATGGGTCCTGGACTCGAACCATGCAGTTGGCCATGTAGGATCCAGTGCCTTAACTGCCATTCTACCTTGTGGCCCCAATATCACAAATTTAAAAAGTTATGCAGATCATTATAATCGGACTGTTTTTACATAGTACTTGGAATGATAAATACCTTGTGGTCACCAAAGGAGGGATCCATTGCAAGAGTAATTTTGCCTTGAGTCTGAGAATATAACATACTTAGGATGGTACAATTATACCACCATTAGAGATGAATGGCAAGAATTATTTGGCATGTGATGTAAAAATCCAAATGCCTTATGCAACAGAATGGTAACATTCCATCTCTACAAAGTAGGAACTCTATACTCAGTGAGATATATATGATATATATACACACATACGTACACACATATACATACATACATATACACACATACACGCACACATATTCACATGTATATATGTTTTTAAGTGCCATTCTTTTTTAAACCATTGCTACAAATCTCTCTATAATATCCCGAAATGATGGGTGGACAGAGAGATTCTTAGGCAAAATAAAAGAATTTCGAGTCTCAGAGTGAAGGCATCATACAAGGTTCATCCCAGGGTGAAGGCATCGTACAAGTCACCAAGCAAAAGGCAAAGCACCTCAAGACTTAAGCATGAAGTATTTTGGCACACAGACAGCCACTGTTCTTTTCTTTTAAAAGCCTTCTCTTTCTCATAGCGCTCCTTTTGCCTACGGCGCTCTTCTTCCTGCCGCTTCAGTCTCTCTCTCTCACGAAGTATGCGCTCCTGATCTCGTTCGTAATCCCGATCCCTCTCCCTGTAGTCTCTGCTGCTTTCATCTTCAGGTCTGCATGACAAACAAATCTGAGACAACCCTCAAAGAGCTCGTAATCACAAATGCAGAAGCACTGGGACTTGGGCTTGGCTACTGCAATGAGGTTGCAGAGTAAACTAGTGTTTTAAAAGACAACAGAAACCAAAAACCATTCAAATGGATGAAGATGCTATCAATAGAATATTTGAAACTCTTGTCCTCATCCCCCTGCCCCACCTAAAAATGTTTCTCTTAATTCAGGTGCAAGTCCAGGATACAGCAGCAAAACTGTCATCCGGCAATCAAACATACCGAAGAGCCTTCCCTCCACCACTGACCTCTTTGGCTTTTCATCTTTAAGTTCGACATCAGAACGCTTGGGCAATGTACAAGTTTGCCCACTGGCTCTTTCATCATTCAGATTCTCTTTGTCCAATTTCTTGGCTTTCTCTCTTTTGTCCAGTTCTTTGTCATCTCCTTTTTCTGGCTTCTTGAGCAGCTTTAAAAAGAATGTGTTTATTTTTATTTTGAAGGGTAGGACATTGTCTTCTGATTCTATCAAAGAAAACATACTAAATGCTTAAGACTTAGAATACAAAAGGCCCCTTAATCTCTGCAGATGCTCAAACTTTTGGGTGAACTAGTGCACAAGAGCAGTAATTTGCTAAAAGGATGCTATTAAAGTGAAAGTGTTATCCACTCAAATGAAGTGGTTTAATCACTTTGTGGCAATAGGATCAAGACTCCTTTGGCTTTAAATTGGTCAACCTTTAAACAAATGAATATCCACTTCCAAGTATATTTTTGTAGCAAACCAGCATGTTGATACAACTCAATGGGAAAATATCCCACAAATTTTTTTATTGTTTAGATTTTTGCCACAGGACATATGTGCTTGCTGGAGACAGAGCGATAAAGAGGGAAAGTAAGAAAATACCCCCTAGGAAGGCTGGCCACATTGTAATCCCTTCTCCGCCATTCTCTTCTCAGGATTTTGGGCACACATGCACACGTGTCTGGTGTGATTTTCAAGCCAATGGGTCCTGGACTCGAACCATGCAGTTGGCCATGTAGGATCCAGTGCCTTAACTGCCATTCTACCTTGTGGCCCCAATATCACAAATTTAAAAAGTTATGCAGATCATTATAATCGGACTGTTTTTACATAGTACTTGGAATGATAAATACCTTGTGGTCACCAAAGGAGGGATCCATTGCAAGAGTAATTTTGCCTTGAGTCTGAGAATATAACATACTTAGGATGGTACAATTATACCACCATTAGAGATGAATGGCAAGAATTATTTGGCATGTGATGTAAAAATCCAAATGCCTTATGCAACAGAATGGTAACATTCCATCTCTACAAAGTAGGAACTCTATACTCAGTGAGATATATATGATATATATACACACATACGTACACACATATACATACATACATATACACACATACACGCACACATATTCACATGTATATATGTTTTTAAGTGCCATTCTTTTTTAAACCATTGCTACAAATCTCTCTATAATATCCCGAAATGATGGGTGGACAGAGAGATTCTTAGGCAAAATAAAAGAATTTCGAGTCTCAGAGTGACGGCATCACACAGGGCCAGCCACTGCAAATGGTGAGTCCAAACCAGACACTAAGGAGGCACCAGTGTAAAGTAAGGATACCATGCGCAGGTTTCATGGAAAAGTGTTATTTCGCTAATGAGCATCTTTATTAGGAGCCAAGATGTTCACTATTAAGAATATTAATGAATGTCTCTAGCATGGCTGGCTCTACCTTCTGCCTTGCTGATCAGCAGTATTAGCAAGTCACTTGTGGCATAGCAGACAGAGATCGCTAGAAGGAATTCAAATGGGCCCACCCTGACCCCAGCCCCTTACCACCAAGAATTAAGCCAGTAGAAACTCAGGGGACCCTAGTCACATACACTGCTGAGTTTGCAGGAGGTAAAAGGAGACCTTGCCACCATCTCTGTGAGACTTTCCCTGAAGTACTAGGTTACTAGTACTTCTCTGGAAGTTCACTGGAGGAAGGATTGCCCATGCTGTGCCCTCAGAAGGGAAGCAGCAAGGTTGGGATCTTTCTGAAGTTTTACTCTTCCTACGTACTATGCATTAATCAGAATCTGCTGTGTACAGATTCCTGAGCCAGATGCAAGAAGATAATGTGGGAGTCGAGTGAGAGGGAAAAGCACAAAATGCAGGATATTTATCCCTAGTTCTCCCACAAGGCCGCCAGTTAGGAGAGGTATATAAGAAGATGAGAAAGAGCTACATAGGCATGGTTGTCCTCTGGCTGTATGTCATTGAAGCTTCTGGGTACATAGCAGAGCATAGGAAGTCACCTGGGCTTCCTTTTTAAGTAGGAATTTAAAATAGCTCAGCTTTTCAAAAGACCCAAGTCAGTCTTGAGGGGTTTTCAACAAGTAACACTACCACCACCACCAAAAGGACTTATTAGCTAAGACCTGTGTGTGTGTGACATGATACTAGGTGCTCTGTATCATGTATTTGGTCCTTACATTTTTCTGATTCACAGCTTGTAACAGAAACCTGTGTACCTGAAGACAGTGGAAAACAAACAGATGAGGCAATTCCATGTATTATGAAGGAAAAGCTGAATAAAAACCCATAATTCATGCCAGCCAGCCCTGAAACCTCATTTACAATGAACTGAGAAAACAGCAATCCAAACACTGAACATTTTCAATGCTAAATAACACAAATCTGCACAGAAAAATAATATAACATAAGCCACTTAATCCATTTAAATGACCTTAAAATTAAAAAATAATACTATCAATATTATAGGAAAGATTTTTATTGGTTTACTTCCCCCCCCCAAAAAAAAAGGACATAAACAAAAATCTCATTTAGACCAACACAAGATGCACGCATATTTAAAGCAGACGCATGCAATGTTCAGCAACATGTAGTCAGTTTCAATTATTTTTATACCTTAATCTTTGGTTCATCCTTTATTTTGTCCCTTTCTGGAACTCTATCTATTTTTTTCAGCTTCTCTATATCTTTCCTTTTTCGTTTTTCTTCTTCTTTCCATTTCCTTCTCTCTTCTTCTCTTTGTCTTTTTCTTTCTATTTCTCGCCGCCTTCTTTCTTCTCTCTTTTCTTCTCTCATTCTCTGTAAAGCAACATCAACACAAACCTTCAAATAAGATAATCACTAAAAGCCTAGTCAATCCCAAAGCTATGGTGGGCACCAACTAAATCACAGTACTGTTTTGTCCTACTTTCTCTAAGTAGCATTTGATCTCCTTAATCCCCACCCCTCCCAGAAGATGAAACAAAATGAAGACCAGGACCTGCTCATAACAGATTCTCCCCCTGCTGCATGGCTCTGTTTCCAGGAGCTTTCAGAGTGTCTCTGCAACAAACTAAGGACTCTCCTGGTCCAATGACCAGAGTAAAGGAGGGGCCAGAGAATAAGACCAACATGCTAAATCTTTAAAGAATAATGGTAGAAAAAGCAACTATTTTTCCTACAAGACCCCAATGCTCTTAAAATGTTTACAGAATGTAAACCAATGAAAATTAAAGTACGGAGAGAACTGTAAAAACAAAAGATTTACCTGCTTGTTTTTCAGGAAGCTCAAAAGTGGGGTTGTCTTTTTAGCTACATAAATGTAAACAGATTATTAATAATATTATCAATCCCTAGAAAGAATTCCATTTTCTGACATTCCCTGCCACCCACCCAAGGTGGGAAAAATAAAACCCTTAAACAGAAAGTTCAAAATTGTATTATCAGGGAACCAGCAGTTAGCGTAATGGCTATGTCTCTGGATTCCCACGTAGTCGACCGTGGTTCGCGTGCAGGACCCGGTGGCTTAGAACTCATGCCAGGCGCATGTGTGTGTGTGCCCGAGATCCTGAGAGGAGAATGGATTGCGGCGTGACCATCCTCCTGGGGGGTGATTTCTCGCTTTCTGTCTCTCTGTCTCTCTCTGTCTGTCTGGTAAGCGCACGTGCCCTATAGCAAAAACCTCTCAAAAAAAAAGAAAAAAAAAAGATTGTATTATCAGAAATATGCTTTATAGTATTCCACTTCAATAATATAGGTTTAAAATACTTTTAAAAAATTGAAAAATTAAAACTAAAATAATAAAACAATTATACAAAAGTAATTCTCATTTGTTGAGAATTAAATGCAAAGGACATTCTCTTGTTTTATAGAGAGGAATATTAATTGGTTCAACTGCAAAGAAACTGGGGGAAGGGGCTCAATGCATCTAATCCTTTTAACCCCATAATACTACTACTGGCAATTTAGTCTAAGAAAGTTACCAGAAATGGGGCTTAGATTTTGCATCTACAATATTAATAAAAATGAGGTGTTAGAAGATTTAAGTTTGCCTCTCAACTTTTTAAGCAATGCTATTAGCCTTCTAGCCACCTTTTGAATACATACTTCTTATGATAAATTCCTAGGAGCTGGAATTCTGGGTCAAAGACTATGTCCATGTTTAAAGCTACTGATATAGTAGTGACAACCTACTCTTTTTTTTTTTTTTTAAAGGATTTTGCCATAGGGTGTGTACACTCGCTGGATACAGAGGGAAAGTGAGAAATCACCCCCGAGGGGTGATGGCCACATGGCAATCCCTTCTCCTCCATTCTTATCTCAGGATTTGGGGCACACATGCCTGGTGTGAGTTTCAAGCCACTGGGTCCAGGACTCAAACCGCGGTTGACCATGTGGGAGTCGAGCACCTTAATCACCACGCCACCTGCTAGCCCCAACAACCTATTATACTTAGAACCAATATCCAAGCTAGATTTCTCAAGAGGTTTTCAATTCTATAGTAACTAATTTCATTTTTTGATACTTTCAGGTCAAAAAAATATTAGGAATATAAACTTCTTACTACTAGAAAATACCAATTGATACTCAAAGGCTTACCACCATCTAAACACCTCTTTTTAGTCTTCAAACTTTTGATACTTATATTACATTTGTGTGACATTAAATAGGTCACAGGGAATGTTCCCATTTTATCAATGTACTCTTATAGTCCTGTAAGGCAGGATAATCATCTGCATTTTCTGTAGAGGAAACAGTCTCAAATAAGTTAGTGAAGCAGAAGACAGATTTAGGTATTCTGAGGAAAAGCCATCTCCCTAAATCCTATTTCCCACTTACCTATTAATTCTCTATTTTTTGCTTCTATTTCCTCTAGCAGTGTCTCTGGAGTAGATGTCATTTTCTCATTATCAGTGGCATAACTTTCCAAAAATTTTCTATATTCTGGGTCTAAATAATCATGTAAGGAAACAGAAAATACAGCAGACTTTAAACAAAAAAGAAAATATCTAGGATACTTATCAAAGAACATAATTTTCTAATTAAGAGAATATTAAGGAAAATAAAAACCCAAATCACACCCACAAGATAAGGTTATTTAGGGCTTACCTGGTCACTTACTCTTAGAACTCCTATTCCACTATGAGAGTCTGGTATTAACATGGGGCTTATTAAAAATGCAATATCACATATTAAAACAGAATCACTGGAGGTGTTACCTAGTTTGCTTCTAAGTCACTGCTTCCACTAATCCAGAATCACACTTATGGAAGAACTGAAAGCCATAGCTATGAAACCTTCAGAAAATCATGAACAGCAGGTAAACAATTCCCATATGGGTATACCTCACTTTAAGTAAACTCAACACCTGAAAGTCAGGCATTCTGAAAAGATAAAGTTAGGGGGATGCCCTAGATGTGGCACTGGAGGTGATGGTAATTCCAGGAGTTTTCTCTTAGACACCTCTGACATCTGAAAGGGTAACACAGTGATGTCATTTCATCGCTTGTTTCTATGCATGACACTGGACTCCCACATGGCCAACCACGAATTGAGTCCTGGACTTGGTGGCTTGCTTTCTCACTTTCCCTCCCTCCCTCTCTCATCAAATTAAAATAAGCAAATAAATAAAGTTAAATAAAATAATTCTTTAAAAGAGAACCCGTTATAATAACAAATGATGGAAATTAAACTAGATGACTCTAAAATACCAATTTGATATAACATATTGGGGCTAAGTCCTTAACCAGCACAAGAGTTATACAATTCTCATCCAACGTGACACTGTAGAGATCTCAAAATCTGGAGCTGGTTTACCTTAAATGGCAATTATCCCAGTTTTCTAGTTCTTGGATTTATGTTCAACCCAGTTTCTATGTGTGTAGTTATTACACATCCAAAGCTTAGAAAATAGGACCAACCACTTTAGCTACTTTATATTCAATTACTTGGGTATGGATACTTTTCTACCACAGCTCAATCCATCTTCTTTCTAAAGATAATGGAACCCAAAAGTCAAATAATTCACTATAAAGATGGTAAGAGGCCTCAAGGAACAGTTATTGTACTTTGTAACACGTTTGTCTAATCAATAAGCTTATGGGATTGACTATCCAATGATCAATGCTGTATTGTTCAAAGGAGGAAGAATAAAATGTTGCTGCCCAAACAGATGTTCTCTTTAAGAAACCTGCCCCATTCTAACAGTTAAGCAAAGCTTCCATCTGCAAATAACATCTCTTATTAACTTAAAATCTGTATGATTTTCTAATCTAAAACATTGTAATCTAATGAATTCTCACAATTGTTATTGTTTTTTTAAAAACTCCATGGCAATAGCATTATGTAACTAGAGCTATACTGTACCATCATCAATGGTCCCAACTTTGGTATCTCTTTTCTTAGTCTTCTTTTTTGCAGCTTTTTGAAAAGGTGCAAATTCTACTATAGCAGGATATTCCTGACCTGTTTAGAAAAAAAAAAATACCATACTTGATATAACAAAAAAAAGTCAAAAGTGGGTACAAGGAAATCAATCCATTGCTTTTTAGGCATCTTTTGAAGGGGGTCATCTAAAGAGGGTTTCCCAAAGGGTATAAATACACCAGCACAACTACCATCAATATGCCACCAAAGTAGCCCAAAATTTACATTGATAACATAATAAAAGATAGGGGAGGGAAGTAAAATATTCATTTCAGTTTTATTTCTAAAATGTAATATGTGAAAAAACCCTATAAGCTAATTTTTATTTTTAAAATATTAGGTTGTTGGAAAAGTCATGATGCATTTTTGCATAGAAAAACATAGAAAAATATATCATGACATTTCTGACAACCCAATACATTAGAAATCTCTAAAAAAGATAGAGGGTCAGCTGGTGGTGTGGAGGTTTAGGAGGCTGGCACCTACATGGCCAATTGCATGGTTCAAGGTCAGGACCCGGCAGGTTGAAAACACTCCAGGTATATGTGTATGTGTGCCCAAAATCTTAAGAATAGAATGGAAAATGGAGACTGCAGCATAGCCATCCCCTCTGCTGGGTGCTTTCTCACTTTTTTTCCCTCTCTCTGTCTCTCTCTAGAGAGTGCATGAACCCTACAACAAATTTTGTCATTTATACCTTTTAAATAAAGCTAGGGGGGAAAAAAACCCTGTTAACAGTAAAAACAAAAACAAAACAAAATAAAACACACACACCAAGGCATCGAAAGTAAAAACAGTGAGGGTAGCTTTTATGTTAAATATTCTCACCACAGTAAAATAAAAAATAAAGTGCATCTCATCAAAAAAGTAAAAGCAAATAAAAAGGACTACATCAAAAATTAGAAATTTCTGGGGCTGGCAGGTGGTGTCGTAGTTAAGGGCACTGGACTCCCACATGGCTGAATGTGGTTTGAGTCCTGGACCTGGCAGCTTGCTTTCTCACTCTCTTGCTCTCTCTTGCTCTGTCTCTCACTGGTCAAATTAAAATAAGTAAATAAACAGGGGCCAGCAGGTGGCGGGGTGGTTAAGGCTCTGGAATCCCCCCACACACACACACACACCCACCCACACACAGGTTAACTGAGGCTTAAGTCCTGGACCTGAAGACTTGCTTTCTAATTCTCCTTCTCTCTTTCTCTGGCAAAACTCATGTGAAAGTAATAAAATAAATAAATAAAATAAAATAATTATTTTTTAAAAAGTAGATAAAGTTAAATAATTCTTTAGAAAACTTTAAAAACTTCTGTGCACCAAAGGACACTATCAAGGGCAAGCAGGTGATGTGGTTAAGGCACTTGGACTTCCACATGGCTGAACATGGTTCAAATCCCAGACCTGGTGGCTTGCTTTCTCACTTTCCCTGTCTCTCTTTCTGTCTCTCTCTGGTCAAATTGGAAAATAATAATAAAGTGAAAGTTAAAATTAAATATTTTTTTTAAAAAAGGACACTATCAAAAGGAT